CTATGGAGACTAGCAATATTTTAACAAAACAGAGGAACAAACAGGCAATGCTTGGTTTGGGCCAATCCACAATCCACAGCAAGCGAGAAAAAGCCAGACTTAGGCTGAGGAGGTGTGGGGAGGACTTGCATTCCCGTTGTACCATGAACTTCCACAGTGATGTCAGAGAGCTAACAGACTTCTCAACTACCCAGTACAAGAAACTAAAATACATGCTCTACCTAGAAAAAACAAGAGACCATTAAAATGGTAATTTCTGCGTGGTCAGAATAAGGGTAGTTCTTAATTTCTCCTTTGCACTTAAAAATTTTCCCACATTACATACAAAAACTCCCACAAATTTTATAATCTTTCATGACCAGCTTAGATAAAGTCGCTTTCAGGTGTCACCTGGGACTGTGAAGCTGGAGGGAAGGGGTCTACCCCTGGGTCCTTATGTGACACTCCCTGCCCATGAGGAACCATCAACGTTGCATCCCCAGTATGGCTTCTGCATCCCCCAAAGGGACCAATACCAGGCAGAAAGGAAGAGGAAGGGATTGAGACACGGCTTCAGGAGTTCAACTGAATCCACCCTCTTCCAACCAGCCTTACGGGTGTCAAGCAAAGGACACAAAATGTTTTCGGAAACAGCACCACAGCCCTTCTGAAATTTGGGGACAATTAGCTTTTTTGACTATGTAGCCTGTGATGGGGGTAGAGCTCAGTAGTAGAGTGTTTGACCGCGTGTAGCCTGGGAGTTCTGGCCTTATTATTAAAGTTGAAGAGAATACGTATGTATAGGTACACACACACACACGTACGTATCCCCGATTACCTTCTGCCACCCTCGAAGGGAAAGGGCAGACAGAAGGTCACCCCAGGTGCCAGCGAAATGGGAAAAGTTCCCTTATCCCCCTCGCTGGGCATGCGATGGGGTTGTGGCTCGCTTCTTTGGTGCCCCGTAGCTCCAACCCCTAGCGGGAGCATGCAGACAGGCAGGTCATGGGGAGCGTGGGCTCCGACCCCACTGCAGCGTCTAAGGTTTGAGTGTTTACAGCTCCGGAAGCCCCAGTGGGTGTATGTTACAGTGTGCTCTTCCAGTTTAACCACCTGCAGACAGTTTGTGTTAATCGGCTCAATTAGACCCCCTGCCTTATCACAAGGACAGAGGGCTTTCAGTATCCTGGGTTCTTGCCTTGGTGTGGCAGAAAAATAGGATCACCTGTGGGCTTGCTTGGATGATGGGTGCAAGGTTTTATTGAGTGGAGGTAGCTCTAATGAGGTGAATGGGGAGGCCAGAAGGAGGATGAAGTGGGAAGGTGGTGTTCCCCTGGAATTGGGCTGCCCGGCAGCTGGACTCCGACCGCCCCCCGCCAAATTCCACGTCATCGTGCAGTGGATAGCCTGTCGGCATCTGCTGGTGCCTTTCGGTGTGTTCTTCCACTCCTCTGGACTTCCAGCCGCCTGTGTGTGTGTGCCCAATAGGGTCTCGTGGGTTGTATAGGCCCAGGGTCGGGAGCGTGGTGGGTCAGAGTGGTCTTGGAAAATGCAACATTTGGGCTCAAAAACAAGAGCGCCTGTCCTCACCTAGGTCCGTGGGCCAGGTCTGAAGGTCGCGCCCTCACCAGGGGCCCGGCCCTTCTCTCCCCAGCACTTCCCTGCCGCTCTCCCCTATCACCAGGGTGGAGCCAGCACTCCCCTCCAGCTCTAGCCCAGCACGTATCTCCCTGGCACTTCTTCCTCACCACAGAGTAAGAAACTTCTGCCCCACCTTTTGGAGAAACCACTTCCGTCCTCCAAAGACCTCCTTCCCTCATCCCAGCTTCAGGAGAGGCCAGAAGGCTGCAGCCAGCAGGACTAGAGACCTGCACACTTACTGCCCTACTGCAGACACTGTGGGAGGCCTGCAGACTCGGGGTAGTCAAGGCCCACACCCTCCATCTCTCCTTCAGCACTGCTCCGATCTTGGCAGTCTTGCCACTAGCCCCTGCTCTTCTCTCAAAGTGAAGCTCAGAGCCTAGCCAGGTCAGGAGAGCCCGTCTGAACACCGGCACATTCACACTCAGGTGCTAACGGCATCTAATACATTAATGGAAGCAGCCAAGCTGACCAGGGATTTTGGCAAATGCTTTCAATGATTTTTTTAAACTTGTTAGGAGAATGGGATTCTCTATTCCAAGAGTCAGAGTGTCTCCAACACACGTCCCAATATCACGGTATCATTTTAGACTTGAGTTCATGAATTTCAATCACAACATTGATAAAATTTATTAAGGACACTTTTGCCTACTTCGAGTAATATGTAAGTCTGTGGAGAGCAGGAAGGGCTGGGTGCTGAGTTCTGGTCCAGCCTTGCCTTTTCCTGTTTGTGATGCCGAGCACATCTGACCTGCCTCTCCCTTCCATCTGTGGCATGAGGGCTTGACATTCCCTGTGAGGCCCTCCCTGGAGAACAGACCCCTCAAAAGGTGCTGTCTCTCCCTCTCCCCAATCCCAGACTTTAAATGTAAGGGGCTTTCCTCGGGTCTGTCCTTCGCCTTCCTTGCTGTCCTTGGCCATTCTTCTAACTGCCCAGGTGGTCTCCAGTGTGCCCACATTTCTGTCATCTGCTCCCATCTTTCTCTTGAACTCTGGGCTCAACTCTCATCTGCTTGCTGGAGGTTTTTCTTAGATGTCCCATAGACAACACAAACTCATCAAAAAACTATACTTTCTCCTCCCTTCAAAACCCACAGTGATCCCTCCAGCAGCCACCCAGTATCCTGTCTCAACACTCCTGCTTTTTAACTTTGAGTTTAGTTAGTTGCCAAGCTCCAGTCAAGTCTCTGCCCTGTTCAGATCTTTCAATGAATGCTGCTACCTGCCATATATGAATGGCACCCACCTTGCCCTGTCTTCGGGATCCTTTATTACATCAGTCTCAGAGAGGCCCAGGGTCACACAGTGAGTGACAGTGACAGGGCTTTTAAGCCCAATATACTGCTCGCCACCTCAGTGGCTTCCAGTCACATGGGAGGTCAGCTAGTCACTGGAGCTGGAATATACACAATCCCTCTCTTGACTTTGCCTCCGCTTCTTAGCCTCACGTGCTAAAATCCTACCCATCTGGCCACTTTTATTTCTAAAATGTTTTATAGAATGAGCTTGTAATTTCACCCTAAATATTTTGTAAATATTTTGCAAATGTCTTTTTAATTCAACTTACAATTCATAAAGTCTTTCTTAACCCCATTTGTCAAGGCTTGAATTAATTGCTGCTTCTGAAAGCTTTCATTACTGCCCAACCAAACATGTCTCTCCTAAACGCTTCCACATGTCTGAGACTCTCACGCTGGTCTTACGCGGAGTTATGTGAGGTGTATCTTATAAATCAGGTTGTGAGTGTCTTGCGACCAGGGTGTGTGTCTTTGCAGCCCCAACACATAATACAAGGATTATCAGCACACCGGCCGTACTTTATCAGTTAGGCCAAAACGAGAACTTCGACACTTTTTTGACTTCAGTGACAAGGCTGTCAAAGGCCCCATCGAGGAAGTGATCAAGAGACCGCTGAGTCCTCAGCCACACCACTGAGACAAGCGTAGGAGCCAGGTAGGACCAGAATGGGATAGGAGTAGGGACAGGGGAAAAGCTATTCCATGCCCAGCAACTAAGCAGTTTGTCTCTGGGAACTCTCCTCTGCTTCTGCTTTTCAGGACATTCCCACCCAGAAATGCCAGAGCCACAGCCACTGAGAGACGAACACGATACAGAATAGGCCAGTGGAGTCTTGAAATGCTGTGGAGTCCATAAAGCCTTGGCCGGATCCTTGTCCCAGAATTCTGCCACAATTTCTCAGCTGGCTGACCTTGGTCTTTTTATTTTGCTAGTCTGTTCCCTTGTCTTTAAAATGAAGACCAGGTAGGCTCAAGGATGCCTTCCAGCTTTAAGAGGAGTGAGGCCTATATTCCCCTGTGTGTGTGTCCCAGCTACCCATCTATAGAATTAAAACAGCAGCAATGAAACAGGAGGTGTGCGCATCCTCGACTCTCGAGTTCAGCAAGCTTGGTAAGTAAGTGCCAGGTGTGTCCAAAGGGTCACTCTCCTTCTTTTTTTTTTTTTTGAGACGGAGTCTCACTCTGTCGCCCAGGCTGGAGTGCAGTGGCCGGATCTCAGCTCACTGCAAGCTCCGCCTCCCGGGTTCACGCCATTCTCCTGCCTCAGCCTCCCAAGTAGCTGGGACTACAGGCGCCCGCCACCTCACCCGGCTAGTTTTTTGTACTTTTTAGTAGAGACGGGGTTTCACCGTGTTAGCCAGGATGGTCTCGATCTCCCGACCTCGTGATCCGCCCGTCTCGGCCTCCCAAAGTGCTGGGATTACAGGCTTCAGCCACCGCGCCCGGCCAGGTCACTCTCCTTCTTAATGAGGAGCAGAGGCTCCTAAAGGAACATGGCCTCAGGGAAGGCGAGGCATGGGAAGGTAGGACAGACCTTCCAATAGCTACAAGAAGGTGCCAGCGCTGTGCAGGAGGGAAGCAAAATCAGAGAACATCTTCACACTGCTCCCAAGGGTCCAAGAGATAGAGGCTGGGCATGGTGGCTCCCACTTATAATCCTAGCACTTTGGGAGGCCAAGGCGGGAGGATTGCTTGGGTCCAGGAGTTTGAGACCAGCCTGGGCAACACAGTGAGACTCCGTCTCTACTAAAAATGACAAACACAAAATAGCTGGGCATGGTGGCACGTGCCTGTAGTCCCAGCTACTGGGGAGGCTGAAGCAGGAGGATCTCTTGAGTCTAGGAAATTGAGGCTGCAGTGAGCTATGATCATGCCACTGCACTCCAGCCTGGGCAACAGAGACCCTGCCTCAAAAAAAAAAAAAAAAAAAAAAAAAAAAGATACAGCCCTCACTAGCTAGGAAACTGCAACAGCTAAACAACCCCATTCTTAATGGTCCTGGCCTGTTGAGGAGGTGGCTGTAGGGAACGGGAAGAGAAGGGTAGGGGGTAGGTCCCTACTGATTAAACACAACACAGCAACTACTGCCCATTAGAACATTTATTTCTCAGAGAGAAAATAAGTTTCAGACAGTCATATTATAGTAGGTAAAATTAACTTTTGTATTCTTTACAAGCATAGATTTTTCTCTGTTTATTACCTCTCTTATACCATCTGTTATAAACAATTCTAGAAAGCAAATAAAGTCACTTTCTACAATAAATAGAGCATCATGTGCTTCACAGCAGACGCGACAGAGACACATAGGCCCCATGCCACAGCAGGATCTGAGCCGTTTCCCATTCTAAAAGAGCATTTTAAAAAATGAGACTCAGAGAGAGAGACTAAAAGATTCAGAGATTGAAAAATAAAGAGAGACTAAGAAGAGAAAGTGTTGGGGGGAAGAGATAGACATAGAAAGAGAGGGAGAAAGTCCCAAGATCTTACAACACAGGTTTAGACAAAGGTCACAGAGTCCACAGCTGACCAACTACCTGGGGAGAGGGGAAGCACTGGCTCCTTTAAATCAACGACACTGTGTGGCCACACAATGGAGGACTCCAATAATGGAAACTATAGGCCTGAATAATTTAGAACAGTATTTTACAATTATATACACCATGTCCTTCCCTAGCCATATGCTGTATTGTTTTTATTATTATACAAAATCCAAAACCCCATCCTTTTAAGTTATAGTGTTTTGTTGGTTCCCTTTTAAACTCTGGCTCATGTCCCAAATGTATAAGAAGTTGTGGTGGTTGGTTGGCTGTATTTTTAAAAAGTCAAGTGTGTAAAAATGGCAGTGATCTCCCCAGTGACTTTGTTTTGTCCAAAACTCCCCTATGAAAAATTTAAAACAATTAAAAAGAATATCAGGTTAAAAATCAACATGGCAATCAGCAGCCTGCAACTGGCCCTGCGACTTTGGTGCTCAGGAGGTGAAAAGAAATGTCTAGAGAACAGACACTGAAGCCTCTGAAAGTTGTGTTGGTTTGTCAGTCAGCATTCCCCGTTCACAGTTTTTTTCCTTCCATTTTTGAGAAGGTGAAGGTGGGGAGGGGGTTGAAGAGAAAGAAGGAAGGAGGCAGAGAGTTTGAAATAAAAGTAATGCATTCCCTGAAGTTGGGAAGTAGGAATAGCAGAGGCTAGGCAGGGCAGGGCAGAGTGCAGGCCAGGAAGATGTTTGGTGGCAGGCGCCATGCCATCCGGGTGGTGGAGAGTGAAGCTTAAGACTGCAATTGCAGAAAAAGTCCATGAGGAGAGAAGAGAGGAGAAAAGGGGGGAGAGGGCAGACCCCACTGACGGGCACAGCTCCATCCCAACCACCCTCGACGTCCACGTGGACAGATGGACACTCGCACACCCAGCCTGACAGGAGCCTACTCTGGAGGCTTGGACCACCTCGTGGCAGCAAAGGAAAACAAGAGGGGACCCGCCTTGATCCAGGGGGCACACTCGCAGAGCTGGGAAGTTGTGTCGACAGCAAAAGGGAAGGTCTGTGGGTGGGAGGTGATGTCCTGGGGGAGGGGGTCACAGGTTGTGGGCTGGCCTCTGTCTGGGCCCTGAGGAGCCTGGCAGAGACACCACCTGGCATAGCAGCTGGCCTCAAGGGGAATGAGACATTACAGAAAAGGACCAGTGTGGTGACGGTTTCTGTCAGTTTGGCACAAGAGAAAAAGAAAAGGTGAGCAATGGGTACAGAAGATGGGACAGGGAAGAGGTGTGAGAATGGGCGATAAGCGGGAGAGACAGTGAGCTTGGGGAGATTCCCCTTGGGACCCTGGCATATCCACAGCATCTCTGGGATCAGTGTCAGAACCTCACCCGCCCTGAGGTGTAGTTAATGGGAGCAGGATGGAGGGGGCCAGGCAGCCCCTCAAGAAGGAGCCCAGGACCTCTTGCCATCTGGGTGGGGTCCATCTCCTAAGTTGGGCCCAAGCCCCACAGCTCTTTCTACTTCTAACTGGTTCTTCAGTAAAAAATCCCCTGAGGGATCTTGGGTGGGAGTTTTTGGCACACAGCAGGCCTGCCAGGAGAACCATGCAATTGGTCAAAACTGGGGCCTTGCCCCTAGTGGGGAGGAAGCCCAGTCCCTGGCCTACCATAGAGGGGGAAGCTGCCGGCCATACATCTGGCAGGGGCAGAAGAGGATTCTCTGTGCCCCGCGGGACGGAGGCAGGGCAAGCAGATGCAGGCCCAGCCCCGCCCTCACAGGTAGCTGGAAGTGACGAAGGAGTGGGGCCCCCGGACTCTGCTCAGGTGGATCATCGCACGGTCATAGGCCACCTGCACTGACTTGCGGATGCTGGTCTTGCGGCCTTCCAGCATCTTGAGCTTGTCCACGGTGTCTTCCACACCCAAGGGCAGGACTTTGTCCCTTGGAAGCCACTGCCTGAAATGCAAGCACAGTAAGAGGCTGGGCAGTAGTGGGTCTCACAGGGGGCTCCTGTGGCCCCACTTGGCCAGGACCAGCAAAACCAGGGAGAGGGTACAGGGCAGAGGGAAGTAAATTGGGAGACTCCATGCAGGAGGCCACCAAGAACCTAGCAGGTCAGGGCAGCAAGCAGGATATGCAGGAGTAGGGTGGGGGAATGGCATGAAATCAATTTTGCAGCTAGGTCCTTCTCTGGGCCCTCACTCTGTTTGGAGAGTTGTCAGGGTCCATAGGCTAAGAAAGGCCCACCTGCTGCCCTCTGGGGCCAGCTGAGCCACCCTGGGGGGCTCTGAGCCTCGCCTTGCCTTGGAGAATTAGGGGGCAATGGCTAGCAAGTACAGCTGGTGCCAGGAACTGATAAACTCATCTGTAGTGGGGCCTGCACACTGTGTGTGTGTTTTTAAAGCTTCCCAGGTGAATACAACATGTGGCTAAGAATACAGCCTTTGGAACAAGATCTTGTTTTGTATCTCAGTTCTGGCTACAGGATCTGGACTTTCTGAGCCTCAACTTCCTCATCTGCAAAATGGATTATGAGGGGATTAACGAAGACTTAAATGAGGATTAAAAGAGATCAGATATATAAAGCAATCTGCATAAGTACATGCAGTAAGCACTCAATGGCAGCTGCTATTATCACTATTTTTATTAGCTAGTTCTCCCTCCTCACTCTATAGAAGCTAAGGTGAAAGTACTCTCTTGCTGGTGCTAAGAGAAACCTTAAGTACTGTAAACCATAAATGAGCAAGTCTCCTGTAGTGGACACTCCACTGGCCAGAACCCCCCTCAGGATGGAAACATGCTTCCCAGAAGCTACTGGAAGTGTTGGAAGCCGACAGGCTCTCATCTGAGTCCCTCACTAGGAATCACCCTCCACCAAGGAAGCCTCTGGCCCAGGCCACACCCCTCCCTTGGGGCAGTGGCATTCAATTACTAGTTGGCACAGGGCAAAAAGGCACAGCCCCAATTCCTGACATCTCTATCTTGTTGAGCCACCCAGCTCCAGATGTGCCCAATGGATGAGGTGAGACAGCAAGTGGGCTGTATTGCAACTTCTGCCCAGTGCTGCATCACTCCCACTCCACAGCTCTCCTCAATAAGCCTCCTGATGCAAGTCTCGACCTCAGAGTGTTTCCCAGGGAATCTGATCTGCAACACCCCTCAGTTACTATTAACATGGCAAGTACAGGCCTGTTGCTGGCAAGTAATGCCTTCCCCTTCACCTGGGTGGAAACCAGGGTAACTGCATCCATGGCCCCTCTGTGTACCTCACTAGCACAGACCCCTGGCGTGCCCCTCAGCCCCCTCACAGCAGCACCCACTAACCAGGTGCGCTTGTTGTCAAAGAAGAGGACAAGGAAGAGCTTCTCTCCAGCCTCTGCCTGTTTCTGCTCTCCCAGCTTCAGCACGTCCAGCGGGGGGACAGGGATGGGAACGCCATTGTGCAGGAGGCCCTCCCGGGGCATCTTGGGATCGATGATCTGGAGGCAGAATAGAAGATGGGCACTCAGTGAGGGAGGCCAGGGTGAGCAGCACCCCTGCTGCAGGACCAACTGCTGAAGCACCTACATCAGGGGAGTATCAGGTCTGAGTGGGATATCTTTGATGTCCAGACCAGACAGGCAAACCTCTTCCTCCAATGTCCCTTAGGACAGAAGAGTACAGGTCACTTTTTTTTTCCTGTCAATTTCCCTTTAGTACCTTTGCAATTCACCTCAAATGCTCGGGGGCCTTCCCTAGGTACCACAGCTATGAAGAAGGCTCTGCATCAGGAAGGCCATCCAGTTGGTTCTAACAAGGTCTCTGGTTACCCACTACCTTTCTGTCTGACTACAATCCTTCCTGATACATGGACCAGGTATATTTGTGACACCTCCATGGTAAGATCAGAGAGGAGGCTCAGTGTATAGCTAGAGAATGAGCTTGGAGGTTGATGGAGAGGGGGATGATGTGGGTGGAAACAAGGGCCACTGGAGGCATTAATCCTTGAGGCAACAAGCTCCACAAGGGCAGCAGCTGGGCCCTTCTTCAGGTTTGCTTCTGGCATCCAGCCCCGCCTTGCCTGGCTCAGAGAAGGCGGGTGCTCAGCAAAATGCCCGGCAGCATCAACACAACAATCAAAATCCAGGTCTAGGGAGCACTTTCAAAGTTTCCAGAGCTCCTAATTATTCACACATCATCTCATTTCAATCTCTTGCTGATGCTGAGAAGTCTGCTGACAGGTGTTAGCTGACAGAGGAAAACACCAAGCACAGAAGCAGGATGTAGCTGGCTAAAATCACACTGGGACTAAAACCAGACAAGGCTTGGGCCTCCACAGCCCACTGCCTCCTAGGCAGCCCCTGCCTCCAGAGCAGAGAGCTAATAGCTCTGGGAGCAAAGACTGGGAACTTACTGAGGAAGCAGCCTTCTCCAGAGACAGAGCAATCTTACTTCCCATATGCTGTCCCATTGGGCCCCTTCTCATAATAAACTGCTCTCATTATTTACCTTTGCACGTCTGCCAATTTCACGACATCCCTCTTAAGATAAGCAGCTGAAAGCAGTTGTTCTGGTTATGCGTTTACTCTAAGGAAGAACCACCTTACCCCACCCACCGGGTGTGTAATTTGATCAAAACTCTCTCTCCCAGGCTGTCTGTCCCTCCTGGGATTGAAGAGTCCTAACAAGAACCACCATACAAGCCCTTGTAAGCTTCCTTGATTACCAAACAAGACAGTGAGGCTACTCTGATATGTTTCTTCTTGACTAAGGCATGCTGGCTCCTGCCTCGGAACCCAGGGTGCTTGCAGAGGGTAGATTGTGAAAAATTTCCCGAGGGCAAAAGCAAGGTGGATAAGTCTGCCATCTGAGGAGAGCTTTCATGTCCCAAAATAATAAATGGTCCATTCATTCAATGAATACTATGCAAATGTAAAACAGCATGGTAACAAAGCTTGTGATAAAACTTAACATAAGTGTACATACACTATTATTACAACTATAATATGAATATGTGAACAATAAATAGAAAGAACGATACAAAATGCTTGGAGTCAACACTAGAATGGTGGGGTTTGTGTTGTTTTTTTCCCCCTGTTTTTCCAAACTTCTATAATGTAGTATATTACTCTTACCCAAAAAAAAGAAAAAATGTTTAAAAGACAAGGAAAAAAACAGACAAGAGCCAGAAAAAATTAAAAACTTTATATCCACTATCTATGGATGCAAATACATACTGAAGAATGCATAGGAAAAAGACTAGGAGAGCATACACCAAAATAAAAACACAGGTTGTGTTCAGGTGGTGGCTGAATTTCTTTAATCATAACAGAAAATGTATAATTAAGAGGGTAATTTAAAAAAAAAAAAAGATGAATTTTAGGCTAGTGTTTTTGCATTGTGAGGTATTCTGTTTGTTTTTTAAATCCAAACCTGCACAGCTTAATCACTTCTTTAATGACTGAGCTGGGAGTCCTGCAGTTTCACCGCTGGCAAGGCAGAGAGCCCTGTGAAGGCAGGCAGCCCCAGGCCCTAACTCTTCAGTTGCTAGATCAGTATGAATTTTTCCCACCTGCTACTGCTAAGGAGTGAGTAGAGTAGGCAACATGGTTTCCAATATGGCTCCAACAAACTGTATTAATACAACCTCTTTGGGCTATGATTTCCTTATCTGACCAAACAGGATCAGAATTCCTCCTCTCCTTATCTTAAAAGGCTGCTGTTAAAGTCACAGATATGAAGGGGCTGGGAGAAACCCAGAGTCCTGTATACATGTAAGAGTTTGGTGGGGTGGTTCCCAATCCTGGCTACAGATCCTTTAGGATGTTTTCTAAAAAATATTGATGCCTCAGTCTGGCCTCAGAGAGTCTAATCTGATAGTGCTGGGGTGCAGGTGACTTGACATGGGTATTGTTTTAAAATTTTCCCCAGATTATTCTGACATGCCTCAAAGGTTTAGTATCAGTGGTATCTTCCAGAGCCAGATGGACACTACCTCTCTAACTGAGACAGAGTTCAGAAATAACAATCAAGGTGGCAAAAATTGAATTTTTAGCTGCTGCTACTATGAAAGAAATGAAAAGTTTAGTTACTGCTGGTGTGAGTATAAACCAAAATGAACTTTCGGCAACTTGGCAACTTGTATCAGAATTCTGCATAGACTTTGCCCCAAGAAGGGACTCCTAAGAATTCACTGTAAGGAAATAATCATGGATGTGCACAAGGGTAAAGCTACAATGAAGTTTATTGCCAACTGTTTATCATAGTGAAAAATTCAAAACAATCTAAGTGACCAACTAGGGAATGGTTAAAATATGGTACATGCATACAACTGAAGACAATGCAATCATTAAAAGTGATGTTGACAAAGAATGTTTAATGGCATAAGATGTGCATGTTCATGATATGCTGTTAGGTGAAAGGGAGGCTAAAAGCAGTATGGTCTCATATATATGCATATTTATACATTTTCTATAAAAGAGTAAGTGGATATACACCCCAAATTATCCTTGAATAGACAGGACTGTGGATGATTTTGAACTCAGTGGCTCAGAACACAGGCTTTGACGTCACACATTTTAAGCCCTGGGCTCAAATTCCAACCCTGTCATTTATTAGCTGAATGACCACAAATAGTCAGTTTTCTTCCTTAGAAAATGGAATAATCATACTTTCCTCAGTATTTCAAGGACTTAGCGTGACAAATATTTAATAAAACGTCTAAGCATTATCAGTAGCTTTAAAGATTCTCTAAAATGGGCCCTGTTACTTTTATGCATAAGGAAATAAATAAATGCTATTAAATGCCATTAAAACTCTAAAAACCCTGGCCTTCATCTGCATACTTTTAGCCTATTTTTAGTGCCCCAAGCTGGGAGCCTTGCTAGTTTGACCCACTCAGGCTGGGGCAAAACCCCCCTCCCATCTACAGCTAAAGACATTCTGACTCCCACCATACTCTGCTGGCTTAATCCAATCAGATTAGCCCCCAAGGCAAGGCAGGGGAGGTAGGAGGGTGGCGTCTGGGGCAGACTCACCAAGGCAGGGTAGGAGGGGTAGCCTCGGCACTTGGCCCACACCAGCTCCAAGGGCTCCAGGTCTCCGCGGTCTTCAAAGGGCAGCAGGAGGCTTCTGCCTGGGGGGTGGGGGAGGGGAGGAGACAGCACCCAAAGGGGACTTGGAATGGTACCCAAAAGGCCTGCCTGTGGCCTCCATTTGACTGGGGCAACCCAGGAATGAGTCACAACATCCCCTCCACCCTTCCTTTTCCCTCTCCTTTCCTTAGAAGTTAGACTGGATCAGGGGTCAGCAAACTAGTTCTGTAAAGGGCCAAATAGTAAATATTTTAGCTTCTGTGGGCAACACGGCCTCTGTTGCAATTACTCAACACTGCTGTTATAGCATGAAAGCAGTCACATACACAATCTATAAATGAATGAGCATGGCTATGTCCCAATAAAACTTTATTTTTTGGACACTGAAATTTGAATTTCATGTAATTTTCACATGTTATAAAATATCATTCTTCTTTTGATTTTCTTTTCAATCATTTCAAAACGTAAAAACCATTCTTGGCCCATGGACCATACAAAAATAGGCAATAGGCCATAGTTTACCGACCTCTGAACTAGAACACCTAAGATGGCTTTCCCTGGAAAAATGTAACTGCTTCATCCTCACAGCCTTAGGGAGAAGGGCCAAAATCCAGCTTGGGCAATGCCACATACTGCTCTCTGCGCCTCCCTGAGTGGGGAGTCCTCATGATGGAGGCTTCATGGACAAAGATGCCAGGGAAGACATCCTGGTAAAATTACTTGCTAACTGAGCTCTTTTCTGACAGGGTCACACCTGGCCACCTAGGTCACCTGGATGCACAGCACTTAGCAGAGCTAAGCGGTCTGCAAGTCCTTCGCATGTCTTCTTTTGTCAGAACCTGATACTGGGTATCCCTGGGGCAGGCACTGCATCTTTTCATCTTACTTTGCTCTGCACTCAATGCACTAGCACATGTGAATGAGTGCTTCACAGATGCTTCTGAACACACAGAAGAACCTCTCTTTCCCTCCCCCCATCTATACACTGGAATGGGCAGGTGACCACACTCAACCAAAGAAAAAAGTCCAAATCTAACAGAGTGGAAATTGTTATTTCTAAAGAAATATTACTACCTCACTTTTTAAAAAATTTTATTTATTCATTTTTTGTAGAGATAGGATCTCACTATGTTGCCCAGGCTGGTCTCAAACTCCTGGCTTCAAGCAACCCTCCCACTTCGGCTTCCCAAAGTGCTGGTATTACAGGTGTGAGCTACTGTGCTTAACTCTACTTGTAATTTTAAAAAATGCACTAAAATTATAAGATAGTATTTTGCACCTATTGAATCAACAGCAGTAACAATAAAAAGATAAAATCCAATACCAAAGAGGTAGACTGAGTAGAAACTGGTGCAATCACATACTACTAATGCAACTGCAGACCAAACCCATCCTTATGGAATATAATTTGGCAGTATGTCTGAAGAGCCATTTAAAAAATGTATGAACCACCTGTTCCAGTAAATTCCTTCTCTGGGAATTTATTCTAAGAAAAATAACTTTCAAGATGAATAAAAGGATTTTAAACAAAAATATGGGTTCACTACATTACATATAATGTTAAAAGCTGGAAAAAACCCAAATGCCTAACAATAGAATGGTTAAGTAAATTATAATGCGTTGTTAGATACATTGTTCCAATAACATGAGATATATAAAGATTATGTGTCAACATGAAGAAAGTACAAAAAAATTTGAAAACAGTAGAATACAAAAGTACATGTGTTTGGATCAGCATTTTGTTAAAAATGTGCCTAAAATAAACAGAAGGCAACACAGAGAAATGAAGACAATCATGTTACGGTGATGGAACTATGGGAGGTCAATATTTTTTGGCATCATTTTAATAAGCATGTGGTTTTAAAAGTAAGAATAAGATGTCACCACCAGAAGCACAAAGTGTGCCAATCCACTCCTGGCTTTGTGTGAGATGCTGTACAAATTCATCTTGACATGAGCCCAGCCTTTTGGGCACTGACAATTACGGAAAGCAATGAAACACACAGGCATGCATCCATCAACACACATACGAGAAAGAAACTGATGCTAAGGGAAAATAAAGTAGTTGGGTAAAGGAAAGAAGGAAGAGAAGCCCTGCAGCCTGTGTGTTAGATGGAAACTTCAAAGACAGGGCATCCAGGGAGCACACACCCCTGTACAGCAGGGCTGGACAGAGGTGAGCTCAGAGAACAGCCTGCTCTGCACCTGTCCCACCTGAGCACCACCCCAGGCCTCTCCCCCAGGTCCTGCCCTGCCCTTTATTCCCTTTGTCCAAGGAGACAGGGCCCATAAAACTACAGGGTTATGTATGTGCGAGATTCAGTGATACAGGCTATCACTGATAACGTTTGTGAATGGGGACAGGCAGTATCCATGAAAATTACAAACATACACTTCCTTAAATTCAGTAATTCCACTTCTATGGATAGGCTCCCTATGGATATAAAATTATCTATGCATAAGGTTGCTCACTGCAACACTGGTTATGATAATAAATGAAAACAATCTAAAAGTCCATCTTTGGAGGACTGGCTAAGCAAATGATGGCATTCCTATATAATGGGACACTGGGAAGCCAATAAAAAGCACAGAAGGATTTCCAAGATATATTACTAGCTGGAAAAAAGGAATGGTTTAGAGGAACATGTGCATATTAGGCTTCTCTACTCACTCTCTTAATTATTCATGCAAGTTTTGGCTTGTATACATATGGATTACCTCTGGAAAGATAGAAAAGAAAATGCTAGCAGTTGATGTTCCAGGGAGGGGAGTGCTAGCTTTCATTATACACTCTTTTGTACTTTTTTGATTTTTATTACTATGGGCATGTATAACCTATTCAAATTTAAGATGCAATTAAAAGAAAAAAAAAAAAAAAGAGTATGATTGGCCTGGGAGAGGGCCATCTCCCTGCCCAAGGGCCCAAGAGTTTGGGGGAGCTCAGGGACTGGCTGCCTGGTACAGAGCCCCAGCAGTGCAGCAGCCTGAAGAGCTGGCTCCTCAGAAGGCCTGGCCCCCTCAGCTCTGCCTGAACACTGCTCCTCACCTGAGCCATTGTAGTCAGAGTCTCCGTTCACACCTTCCAGGAAGGGCACTCGAGACAGGGCTGGCTTCCCACGGCTGCGTTTGGGGGGCGTCAGACCACTGCACACAGAGCAGGGAGAGAGGGGTGAAATGAGCAATTTCAATGACTAAAACGCCCACTCCCCTTCTCCCTTCTACCCTCTCTGACAGGAGTGGAGCTACAAAAACTCTTCAGGGAGGACAGTTCTCACCTTCCCCTAAAAACTCACACTAACCCATGTTTTTGACTGCATAGTTCCCATGAGGTTTTGAGGAACCATTTCATCTACATGGAAGGACTGAACCTGGAAGGAGTTGCTCGTTCCCTGCTCAGGAACCTTGGACTTCATCCAAAGGAAAGGTCACATCAGTCATCTGTCAATCCTTCCAGAGTCTAAGCAGCCTTGCCATGACAGGGGCCATCTTACATCTGCCCAGAATTCTTTGCTCTGGTTCACATTGTGTCTTCTTTAGAAACCAATTTATTTTTGAGATTCAAAAATTTGCCTCTTTGCCAAATTTTCTAAAGTGGACATGTCATACTTCCTTAATTAGAAAAGACATTTTTAAATTGGAAAAAAAAATGCACTTCTCACTTCCAAATGGTTTATGTGTGAAGTTTTTCTTGGATAGAGAGAAGTGGATTTTTTAAAGTAAAAAGTGGGCTGGGTGTGGTGGCTCAAGCCTGTAATCCCAGCACTTTGGGAGGCCGAGCTGGGCAGATCAGGAGGTCAGAAGATCAAGACCATCCTGGCCAACATGGCGAAACCTAATCTCTACTAAAAATACAAAAATTAGCTGGCCGTGGTGGCACGTGCCTGTACTCCCAGCTACTTAGGAGGCTGAGGCAGGAGAATCACTTGAACCTGGGAGTTGGAGGTTGCAGTGACCCAAGATGGCGCCACTGTACTCCAGCCCGGCGACAGAGCGAGACACCATCTCAAAAAAAAAAAAAATTTTTTTCATGGCTATTTCAAAGAGGCAAAATATATATTACACAAAGACTAAAAAGTGATAAGCAAAAATTAGAATAGCAATACCAAAGCAATGTTGTAACTGAAGCCCACCCACGCATCAGTATTTTCAAATTGTTCCCCATGCAGTTCTAATGTATACTATAGCTTCTGGGCAAAAATGATATGGCTAGGGCTTTTTTCCATCCAAACTTCAAAAAATATTACTCCTATATAACTTTAATTTTTTTTTACTAATAAAATGCTTAAAGAATAGGTCGTCAATCTGCAGAAAAGCAGAAATGCTTAAAGAAACCCCCGGTGGGATAAGCAGCAGCCAGGAGTAGGGACTGGTTAGAGAGTAGGGTACTCCTGTTTTACTGAATCAGAACTGACTTTATCAGGACTGTATGCTAAGAAAACTTTGCTTAACTAAAACCCAATGAATCATGATTTTTCAGTAACCAGTAGTTAAGTTGGTAGTTTTTATTGCTAGTCAAACTAGGAACTGTTTGGGAAAAAACAAAAAATACCCAGTTTACATTTAGGATTTAGTTCCCACTTACCCTACAAAAATCTGCCAACATATTAGAGACATTGAGTCCTTGTATAAATGTAAAGTGCTAGTAATTTTATCAGGAAAGCCTCTCAAAGTTCACATCAAGATGAGAAAAAGAAAAACAAATCAAAGTTCACATCAAGAATCTGGGGAGACATCTTCAAATACAACAGAAGAGAGCACAGCAAAGCAGTTAAGAAATTAAACTCTTGGAGCCTATCTGGGTTCAAAACCCAGCTCTTTTTAACAGTTCTGTAACCTTCAGCAAGTTACTTAACTTCTCTGAGGCTTACACTCCCCATGTGTTGTTGTAAAGATTAATGAATGAACACACATAAAGCTCTCAGTACAGCACATACCATGCATTCAATAAATAGCAGCTGTAGTTATTGTCATACGAAGGGTAGTAAATTTTAATGTCTTACTTAAAGTATTACAAACTGCTAATACTCTACTATAGAATGATGAGCTCTCAGAAGGATGAGCTCAATAAAATAGGATGCAACACCAAAAATAGGTCTGTATGTTCCTGATTTGTAGAAAAAAGCACAACTGACTCAATCATGGCCTGCATTTCAGCCCTTTCTCCAAGTTACCCAGGCCTAAGGAGACAACCCAACCTACAATTATCTTATTTACTGATTTAACATCCATATCCATGAGAACAGACACTTTAGAAGATAATCTTCATGACAACAGGCACCTTAGTGCTTAGAACAGTACCTGGCAAGTCCTTAGAACAGTACCTGGCACACAGTAGGTGTTCAGTTATCAATATTTGAATGAGTGACCTATAGAAAGCACGTGTAGCACCAACCTGCTCAGAAAATCGTCAGAAAAGATAAACCAAGGGGCAAGTGAAAAAGGAGGTGTGGGGGATGGGTTAGTGACCAGTTCTTTCAAGATTATTTCTAATTCTGGGATTATATGATTCTGGTCTAATAAATAAGGTCTTCCCTTATGTACTTATTACCACAGTATAGGGGGAAAAAGAAAAACAACGCTTGCAGTTGAAGCCCTTGAATCTCCTATTTTAAACCCTGAAATCCTAATACACACTTCCTCCAAGGGGCCCCAGATAAATCAAGGGCATTGCACTGGAGTTCTGCAGAAAGGCAAACACGCCACCTGAATCAGCAGGCTAACCAGAGCCTGGCCTTGCTTGGTCTTATGGCTCATAGCTGAAAAGAATGCCCTTCATAGAAGAAGGGGCCAACACACATTCCACATTTAGTCAAAAGCTAAAAAAGGATAGTTTGATGGGTCCAATCCTACCCTGACCCCAACAAATTGGGCTTCCAGGTACCTTATCTTTGAAGGGAGTCAGGAACTTCAACCCAGGTCCAGGACAGAAGCATCCTGTAAGATTATGAAATCTCTTTCTCTTTCCTGTGCCTGATAACTTTTTTCCATCTACTTTCCCTATATCTCTGGAGGCTGCAATAGGAAGCTAGGGCAACTTTGAGGGTTGGCTGGGGGTAGGGGAATCACAAAGAAACCACAGCAGGGAACCAGTCCAGGCCAACGAGTAGCTGGGGACCCCCTCAGCCCTACCAGTAGTCCCACAGCCCAGGCAGACTGAATGCCTAAAAGAATACATGCCCAGTCTGCCTTGGAAGCACTTCAAATACAAATACATAGTCTTCTGGTGCTGCCCTGGGACCTTTGCTCCCCTACTCTGAACCTAAGATCCATTCAGCAGTCATATGGTGGGGTCATGACATTAGCCTTCAGGACAAGTCACTTTTCCTTTGTGGCACTAAGGGTTTCTCATTTATAAGAGTCCCCCCCACCCGCCCTGATGTCTTGCAGAATACAGAACACAGAACAGGGGCTCCATAAACTCTTGGGCCTGGAATAAACTTTAAGATTCTGGTCTGAGAAATCCTCCCTTCAGATAAAAGAATGGGAAGAAGTCCATCCCTTTTCAGCTCAAGGATAGTAGAAGAGCTTTGGGACCTTTGTCTGAATAAAAGGCAATTCCAGGCCAGACACGGTGGCTCACACCTGTAATTCCAGCACTTTGGGAGGCTGCGGCAGGCAGATCACTTGAGGTCAGGAGTTCAAGACCAGCCTGGCCAACATGGTGAACCTTCATCTCTACTAAAAATACAAAAATTAGTTGGGCATGGTGGCATGTGCCTGTAGTCCCAGCTACTCAGGAGGCTGAGGCAGGAGAATCACTTGAACCCAGGAGGTGGAGGTTGCAGTGAGCCAAGACTGGGCCACTCCACTCCAACCCGGGCGGCAGAGCCAGAGTCCGTCTCAAAAGAAAAAAAAAAAAGGCAATTCTAAATTTCCTACTTGGTCATTTCATATACCTACACCACACCTCTATAAAGAGGCTATGACACCCCAAAAGGCAAAGAGCAAAACCAAGTCTTTAACAGGCTGGGTTGTCTAAGTATGTGTGTAGGGGCAGCAGGGGACTTTGGCTCAAATGTTAATTTCACTGAGCAATACGAGATTTAGCTTTCCCTATCCTCTAGAGTCCAAATTCAGTCACACAAACCCTGTAAAGCATCAGCACTACTCTTCCTCTCTCAGATCAGACCTGAGAGTCAAGGGTCACCCTGTTTCCTAGGAAATCCCAGAGTTACAGATAAGAGGCCTCAGGAAATAGCAGGAGTTGGGGGAGAGAAAAAGGTAAGCAGGAAGAGGTTCAACCTGTAGCTGAATGGAGAGTAAAAGGAGGGGTGGCAGAGCTGCTGACAAAGCTTTAGGAAATGTGTTCTTACCTGCAAGCTTCAAATGCCAGTCCACCACTGAGACCCAAACTACATTCCGAGTCAGACCCGCTTTCGGTGTGTTTTCCAAAGCCGTTGGTCATGCCTGCCAAGGACACACATAGTGAGTCTGAGTGCAGAAATCCCCCTTCCCAACACATGCTACAGGGTGAGGCAGCCACCTCAGGAGGGCTCAGTGAGGAGTGGAGAGGATGGCTATTCCTTTCCCTGTGAGAAATGGGTCTTGGGTGATAAAGAAGATATGATCAAGACAAAAGTTTGGGGGGAAATATTGCTGGCTAGGGCAAGGAGCAGACACTGCAATTTCCTTCCCATCCTTCTGCTTTTACTTTAAGGAAACCATAGCACACAGCTCACTCAGCTACTGTCATTTGGCTACACAGGGAGATACTAAGACTTCTCCCACCCTGGCTTGCTCACAAGTCCCTGGATTTGCTTCTAATTTCAAATCTCAATTATCAGGTAATCTCTGCCTTTTTCAGGAGCCCACCCACCTTGCCTCTTCAGATAAACACTCACATAACCTATGCCTCACATAGCTGGCAATAGCTAGTTTGATTCTTTGGGGGTGATGTCAAGAGAGACTAGAGAAGGATAAGGGCCCTTTGTCAACCACACCCTGAGATACCTCGCAGGGCTAATCCAAATTGAGGATGGGGGTACTCTTCAGCAGAACTAAAGCAGCCCAGAACTTCCTGGCAGGGAGAGTCAGAACCTGGGGTTCTAGGCTGGGCTCTGAAACACAGGTTCCTTTTCTCTTTCTTTGAGGTCTCTTGACCTCTCCTTTTGTGAAGTGAAGATAATACCTTACTTACTATTCAGTATGTATGAGAGAAGGTCTGTTTACAGTGGGGAGTCCTTCAGAGGCGAATGAAGGCTGTTTGGTCATCCCAGGTATGTGACCTTGAAGTGAAGGCTTCTACTCTCCTATCTATCCACATTTATTTTTCTATTTTTTTGAGATAGGGTCTCGCTGTTGCCCAGGCTGGAGTGCAGTGGTGTAAACAAGGCTCACTGGGGCCTCAATAGCCTGGGTTCCAGTGATCCCCTGCCTCAACCTCCTCAGTAGCTGTGACCACAGGCATGCACCCTATGCGCAGCTAACTTTTTAACTTTGTAGAAACCGGGTCTTGCCATATTGCTCAGGCTGGTCTTGAGCTCCTGGGCTCAAGTAATCCTTCTGCCTCAGCCTCCCAAAGTGCTGGGATTACAGGCATGAGCCACTGTGCCTGGCCTTTATCTAATTGCCAACCACACTAAAAGTCCTATAATTCTAATAGCTGAGCCAAGAGGTGTGCGGAGATGGACCAGGCACCTGATTTGAAAGCTGTAAATTACAGACACCTTAACTAGAAAACTGTGAGGCAAGTCCCTTCTATAAGAGCAGGTGTCTGAGCCACAATGTCTATCCTGTGACCTGGTTCTGCCTCTAACATTATTACCACAATTTAAATCACTGAAGCCATCTGTGTCTTGGGTGCCTCACTTACAAAGGATCAACACCTCTTTTTGTGAGATTCAACTAAGATTGTATAGAAGTATTCCTGAGTGCCAGGCAATTGGGATGGTGAGAGAGAGACAGGATTCTAGCAGTATCTCCAAGCAACAGGCCCCCTCAGGTTGGATGGGCCTCATGTACAGTTACTTCCCAATAGCAGGATCTCTCATTCTTTTAATGCAGTGTTCTCAGCACTGTATGGCTAAGCCTGATTCAGCTGAGAGGATGACAGTAACTGCTACCATCTACTGCTATATGCCAAGTGCTTTACAAAGGGTATTTCTAGTTCTTAGAACCCTGCAAAGGTACGTATCAGAAACCCCCTATTAGGAATAAGGAAACAGGCTCAGAGAAGTTAACTAATTTTCCTGTGGTTACACAGCCAGTAAGAAATTGGGGATTTGAGCACAGGTATGCCTAACTTCAGGCCTTAGGCTCTTGCCTCTATAAACCAACTTACTCCCCTGACACAGAAAAGTTTTGGCCAGATGAGATGGGAAGGTATTGTTGAAAACAAAATGTCAGGCAAGAACACAGAAAAGCAAGTGCTGGCCACAGTCCAAAGTCACCACATAAAAGTACATGAGGGACACAAAGAGCAAAAGCCAAGAGCAGCCCTCCCTGCCAAGAAAGTGGGTCTTCCCTAACCCACCAAGACCTAAGTACTCTGCCCGGCTTCAAAGTCCTTCACATTCAGTCCCATCTTACCCATCCAGTCTTGGCTCCTGATGCTCTGGGAAGCCCCTCTCTAAGCTGTCCCTCACAGAGATTCTGTCCTCCTCCTTGTTCCCACAGACCCAGGCCTGAGGCCTTCATAACCATTCCTTGCCAGTCTGCCCTCATCCCACAGGGCCAGCTCAGGCCAACTCCTACAGCTCAAATTCCCTGAACACCTCTAGCAATGCTACCTCTCACCTGACAAATAACAACATACTGTTCACCACTGTGATTTCTCTACATTTTGAGAGACTCATTTGCCCAATGGCCTGTGAACCTTCCAGAGCTGGAATTAAGTCTGACTTATTTTATTACTTCCCCACACCTACTCATGACTAGCTCTTGCTCTTGCTGGATGTATATTAAGAACACTTTAGGCGGGGCGCAGTGGCTCACGCCTGTAATCCCATCACTTTGGGAGGCTGAGGTGGGTAAATCACTTGGGGTAAGGTGACCAGCCTGGCCAACAGGTGAAACCCTATCTCCACTAAAAAAAAAAAAAAAAAAAGAATTCTCTTTAGTGATGGAACCTCCATTATCTACCTCTATCACCACCTCACCCCACTCCAACCCCTCTACTGCAGCCAAACTGGTTCCCTCACTGTTCCTCAGACATGCAGGCATGTTCCCACCTCCAGGGCCTGTGTACTTTCTAGTCTATCTTTTTGGAATGTTCTTCCCCTAGACATACAAATAGCTCATGCCTTCAATTCCTTCAGATCTTTACTCAAACGTTACCTCTTTAGAAGACCTGGCCACCATCTCTAAGACCACCCTAGAATTCCTTCCCTGCTAGATCGTTCTCCAAAGCTTCTAATACAAGATACAGTTTACTCATTTGCTTTTAATGTATTCCCCCATAAGAGAGGAGATTTTTGTCTGTTTTGTTCATTGATTTTTTCCCCCAATGCCTAGAACAGTGCCTGACACAAATATTTGATGAACTGAAATGAAGGTAGGAATCATTTTACTTTATACAACATTGCTTTACCCTCAGGGCCAATGAGAGTCCCAGACACAATCTGGCTCTCTGGAAAATACCTGCTCAAAGCCTATTTCCCCTGGCTGCTACTCACATGCCAGGCCCAACTGTGAGCTATGGTGCCCTCAATGCTACTATTGCTGTCCAATGGGGCCATTAGAGAGATGGCCAATTGGGGAAGGTGCTGATTGGCAAGGCAAAGCAGAAAAGCAGATGCGAAGTATCAAGAGAAGTCACAGGCAGGGTCACCTGTCTCTTCCTCCTGCTGGGGGGACCTCTCCCCTTCGCTCTCACTACAGCTCCCGCTCCTTGGCCGCTTCCGGGAGTGGCGCTCATCCTCGATGCTGGCTGGAGAGGCAGGAGAGCCTGCCACACCATGGTCCTCGCCATTCTCCAGGGCCCTGTCTGGGCTTCTCTGTAGCTTAACCCCATTCTTGGCCTTCTTGAAGAGGACTGATGTGCGGCGACCCACACCACTAAGTGGGGTACCGCCCGGGGTGTCAGGGGCCATGAGGGATAGTCTGTTGATGCCATTGTCACTGAGCAAGCGTTGCAAAGGCTCACTCCCTAGCTGCAGCGGTGATTTTTCCAAGAGCTCATCTTCTTCCACCTTTCTGGGCTTTAGGAACCGGCTTGGAGGTTTGCTATCATTGATGGGTTTCAGAGTTGGGGGCTCCGGCGGGGATTCTTGCTCAGACAAGGAAGGTGCAGGCCCAGTGGGCTCCAGGGTTGGTGGAGGAGGCAGTTTGGAGTCATCTATTAGAAAAAAAGAGAACCTGCTTGAACATTTTAGAAAGAGTCTGCTCCTACAGGCTAGATACTGACACTGATAACCAAGGACCAAAAGCATGGGCTGTTACAAGGCTTGAGATGCATTCAAGGTCTTAGATCTGAAGCAAAGAGAAAGGAGGATTAGGTTTGTTTTCTTTCAGAGACAGGATCTTGCTCTGTTGAGCAGGCTGGAGTGCAGTGGTCTGATCACAGAGCACTGCAACTGCAAACTCCTGGGCTCAAGTGATGATCCTGCCTCAGCCTCCAAAGTAGCTAGATCTACAAGTACACACCACCACGCCTGGCTAATTTTTTAAAAAAATTTTTGTAGAAACAGAGTCTTAGTATGTTACCCAGGCTGGTCTCAAATTCCTGGTCTCAAACAATCCCCCTGCCTCTGCCTCCCAAAGTGCTGGGATCACAGCGATGAGCCACTGTACCCAACCCCAGAAGAAGTAAGTTTTATCTACACTAGTAGTTCTTAACCCTGGCTATGTATAAGAATCACATAGGAAGTTTCTTAAAAATTCCAGTGCCTAGGCTCCATCCCATACCAACTGAAACCAAATTTGTAAAGATAGGCTATTTGTTTTTTAAAGCTTACCAGGTGAGTCTAATGAAGTGAGGATTGCAAACCATTGCTCTACACCCAAGAAAGTCACATGCTTAATCAATAAATAGGTAAGTCTCAGCTTGACAGATTAGGTATCTACAATTCTCACTGGACTCAAGAGTTTTCTCATCTGTCTTTCGAGTTTATTTCACATCACCCAAGTGACAGCAAGTACAGCATGCAGAAAAAGTTCAAAAATGTGAAAAACAGAGACCAAGTAAGTTAAATCAGTGGTTGCCAAACATGTCTGCTCACCTACCACCTTGAAACTTTTAAAAATTGAGACTTCCAAGCCAAAGCCCAGACATCCCTAACTGAATCTATGGGAGGTGAGGCTACAACATGTTTGTTTTTTTTTTTTTTTAATTTTCTAGGCGATGCTGTTGGCCTACTGGGCACAACTCTGCACTGCCACAGCCCCAGAAGTAGGGATACAAGTGGCATGCTGACTGTCACATGGGGAGTCCAGAGGAATCACAACGGACACAAAGCCCTCTGATGTCAAATGTGATCTCTCAACCATGTCCCCATTCTCTGCCAACCTGAAATAAAATGGGCTGTTACCTACAATCTGGGCCCCTATCCATTGGAAGTAACTTCCAACCTTTTGAACTGTGTGTGTGACAGGCTCTCCCAACCTGTAGGCTCAGATCCAAAGGCAGGTATGAGGGAGACAATTCCATCCCCAATGAAGGGGAAGAATGAGAAGCAGCTTAGCTTATAACGTTCCTGGGTTTCTGAGAATCACTTCCCCAGCTGTCTTTTCTTCTTTTTTGTCTTTTCTCAAGATTAAGAAAATCTGTGGAAACCAACTATCTTTTATAGTCTGGCCTCTCTACTTGAGATGGGCCTATAGATTCAGCCAAATGGGGTAAAAACCATGAGGTGGCTCAAAAGCCCGGGGTCTTTCCTTCTCTGCTATCCCCTCACATCCCAACCTAACCTGCTCTAAGAGTCTCTCCACATGATGATACAAGGTAGGCTGATATTTAACTGGTATGTACAATATGGCTGTATCAGGTGCAAAATACTGACATACTTAATTGGCTAATAAACAGCTGCTGGGCTGCAGCACCTGAAACTCCCCACAATCCAGCAACTAAATATCCACATCAGAAGCCTTTGGGAGCCCACTCCAATACAACAGCCAACATTTACTGAGATGGATAAATTTTGGTCTCTATTGATTGTTAAATATTTTGAACATCATCCCTGCGTATACATGGAAATGTGACCCTTCCAAGGGCTTTTGCTTGCCCATAAGTGTCAGATCTAAACTCGGAAAGGATACCCCATTATTAGATTTCAGCTTAGCCTTTATCCCTCTTTACCCTCCAACCCCCTGCCTGCCTGTGACTATCTCTCACCTCTGTCCCCATCGTCTTCTGGCTCCTCCTGCAAGGCCTGCTCCAGCACAGCTGCATCCCCCTGGGGCCCTGCTGGCAGCTCCCCATTGGATACTGTCTTGTTCAGTGATGGTGGCTGTGGTGGTGGTGGCTGTGCCAGCTTCTGCCGAAGGGCATTGATCTCCCGGCGTAGCAGGCGGACACGGCGGGTGCGGGCCCCACTGGACCGCATGGCGCTCACCAGGTCCAGTTTCTCCAGCAGCTCCTTCAGCTGCACCTCTGGGGACAAATGGGCCCGGTTCTCTGGGATGAGGATGTTGTCCACTGCCAGGGAGAAGGGAGGACAGAAGGGGCTGAAGGACCTGCCCAGCACAGGGCAAGAGAAAGGGGCCGAATCCTTCGGATGCAAAACTCTCTCTTGGAATGCCTGGGCCAGCAGCTTCCAGCAGCGTCACTGTGGGCCTTGGCCCTGCAACACCACTGCCCAGAAGGCAGCCACAGGGACAAGGTCAGAATCTGGGAAACGTCTGCAGGAAGCAGTTCACAGTCACGATTATGGGCTCCATGGAGCAGGCATGAGGCAGCTTGGCAATACCCTGGCCTGAGTGACTGGCTGCTGCCATCGAGAAGCAGAGAGCAGGGACAGGCAGCGTGTGGGGCTCAGAGGCAATTCCATTTTTCTGGTCCTCCACCTGCAATCTTCTGAATGAGCCAGACACACACCAGCAATGCACTCTCCCTGTCCCATGCTCCAATGCCATACAGAGGGGATCCAAGAAAGGAAGACCTCTGATGAGGCTTTAAGCTTTTCAAACAGACCACTAGTACCTGATTCCCCTTTTCTACCACTTAAGAAGTGCTGAGTGCGTTAGTTAAACTTTAACCCTTAGAACTATTCTAGCCACAAAGGTATACCTCAGTCTGTGCTCACCCTCAGCTTTGCTCCTGGAGTCTACCTATAGTCCCAAAGACCACCCTGATCCCTCACTCTGTAGACTCTGTTCCTGTGCCTCCTCCTGGCCCCTCTCCTCCCCACCCATCCAGGCCTCTCACCGTCTTCCCAGGAGAAGCGGTAAAAGTCTTCCAATTTGGGTGACTCGGGCAGGTGAGTGCCCCTCTCGGGGTCATAGCCGATGTTCTCTGCCTGCCGCCGGGCATGCCGTAGGATGGCCCCTCCCAGGTCCCGCAGGCGGACAGCTGCTCGGTGGAAAATTGTGTCTTTAGCATTATACTTCATGCAGTTGGTAACTATAAGGTTAAAGTCCTCCTCAAACTCCTCCAAGGTGCGGTACAGGTGGGACTCCAGCTTCCGCCTCATAGTAGAAAAATCCATTGGCTTGGATATGAATTCCAGGTAATCTGGAACCTAAACATATAAAACCTGTACAATTACAACAACCATTTACTAGCCAAACAGGCACACCCTTCACCAATACTCTTGGCCTCCTCGGTTTCTGATTTGGCCAAGCCAGGCTAACTCAGAGTCCTATGGTCCTGGCCCACCCTGGCCTGCTGACCCCTCATCAAGGGCAAATCTACTAGCTTTGCCAGACCCACCCTCCTACCCCTGGTTTTGTACACCCTGTGGCCCAACTCCTTCCTACCCTACTCAGACCCTGTTCCAGTTCAGGAAGAATTTACTACTTGGAAAGTGGGGGGAACTTGCCTCACTCAAGTTGACTGGTTCTGCGAAGATGTGTGCAGGATCCTTCTCCTGCAGCAGGTCCAGTGTTGTCCTCAACAGAACATTGAATGGCATCAACTCCAGCTCCATGGCAGCCTGCTGGACTTTGACCTGTGGGGAAGGTGGGGTGAGATCAGATCAGGACATCTCCTGCAAAACTGTGCTGAAACTTTTTCGTGATAGCTTGACTTTTACCAATCATGTACAACAAATTTTCATAGAATATTGAGCTGACCAGTATGAGGAGCTATCACTCAACCTTCAGCCTAGGAATAATGATACCAACAGCTACTATTTTATGATTGTTTCCTATGTACCAAACACCATACTAAAATTTACAGTAATAATAATTATCATTACAATTACAATAATTAACACTTCTATAGCCCTTACTAAATGCCAGGTAATGTTCTAAGCATTTTATGTAAAATAAATGAGTATATGAGGTAGGAACAGATGAGGTATTTTACAAAGAGGAAACTAAGGCACACAACGACTAAGTAACTGGCCTAAAGTCATAGCTAATAAGGAACGGAGTTGGAATTCAGTACCAGACAGTGGTTCCACAGTGAATGCTCTTGACCATTATGCCACACTAACTCTGTACTTGTATTACCTCTATTAATCATCACGATAACCCTGAAACAGAAATTATTATCCCCATTTTACAAATATAGATCAGAACAAGGATCACCAAGGACTAAAAGAAAAAAAATACAAATTAAAAAAATATATATACGGAATCTGAGGATTAGAGAGAGCATGATGCAAGAGTTATTACTCTAAGGTTATCTGGCTAGAAAAGAATAGAGATAGGATTTGAACCCAAGTCTGACTAGTCCAAGGGACACAATGATGATGTAAAATGTGCTTGAATCAGAATTTCCCATTCAGTGTGCTGAGGTACTGATTCCATCAGCCCTTGGAGCATCTGGGTCAGCATGGGGTCACCAGGGCCTCCAGGTTTACCCCCACAAGTGGCAAGTAGCTTCATATATTTACAGTAGTATGCTGTACAAATGCTATTTTCTACATATGCCCCAATGTGAAAAGTTGGGAAGCCACAAATTAAGACTATAGAAAATTCCCACCTTTTGGCTATATCAAAACAGGCCTGCCTACTTCCCCAGGACCAGGGCCTTTTTCTCTCTCTCATTTCTCTGAATCAGAGATGAGATAAGAAGTTCAGCTGTGGGATCATGCCTGGGATAGCACAGACATTTTGAACCCTTGAAGAAGGTCCTGAGATGTCCTCCATGGCCACCCATGGTAAATATGGCATGAGATGCCCAGGCTATGAGGAGGAAACTCAGGCTACTGGCCTGCTAGAAAAGGGGTTGTGCTAAGGCTGAACAATGAATTAGAATTTGGAGAAAGAGAAAGAAACATCTTTTTTTTTTCCTCCCTTTTTATGGAGAACAGGTCTTGCTTTGTTGCCCAGGTTCGTCTCAAACTCCTGGACTCAACCTATCCTCCTGCTTCTGCTTCCCTAAGTGCTGGGATTACAGGCATGAGCCACTGTGCCCGGCAAGAAAGGAACATCTTTAACCCGGGCCTCTGAAGCATGTGAGCGACAGCTGCTATTCCTAGCCCAGAGAGAACAGTTTTGGCTTTTCATCTACTCAATTAATAGTATTTGCTCTCTGCCATGTGCAGTAGACACTGCAGGGAAGCAAAAAATTGATAATAATAATAATGACAGCAGCTGACACTTCTCTGTCACTATGTGCCAGGCACTGTTCTAAACTCTTTACATAGACTAAGTCTTCTAATCCTCAAAACAACCTTATGATGTAGGCTCTATAATTACCCCCATATTCCAGGTGAGAAAACCGATGTATTAAGCGATTGAAGAACTTGCTTAACGTCACATAGGTAGTAAGTAGAAGAGGCAGGATTTAAACCCAGGAAGTCTGGTGCCATAGCTCGTGTTCCTAAACCACTATATTACACTACCTACCTCAACATTTCCTATGCTCAGGGGCTTAAAATCTCCTAGAACGGAGGATAAATAGAAAATTTAAATGATTCAAGACCATAAGTGTTTAAGAGTCAAGTGGGAACCCTCAGAAGTTCCCAGGCCAGAGGCTTTCAACTGATGATGCCCATTAGAATGGCCTAAGAAGCTTTCCAAAATCCTCAAGGCCAGGCTCCCTCTGAGACTTCCTGAATCAGAAATTCCAGGGACGGGCCCAGGCATATATATGATATTAAGCTTATGCTTGAGGCTACCAGGAGCTGAAACCCAAAATATAGAAACCACCAGTAGCACCACAGCTAATACAAAGTAGGCAGCTCTTGGAGCCTACAATCCTGGGTAGGGAGGGGAGAAAGCAAGCTAGCATAAGGCAGGGGCTCCCAGATTTCCCAATACTAGACTGATAGTGGGAGAAAGTGACCTTGAACTAGGGCTCTAGGGCTGGGGGCTCCTCCTTACCTGCTCCCGTTTGAGCTTCTCTCTCTTCCGAATCAGCTCAATCAGCAGCCGCGCCCGCTCCAAGTCATGCCGGAGCTTCTGCCAATACTTCAGCTCTTCCTTCACTGCACTTGTCTTCTCATCTTGCTCTCGCTGCAGGAAGGAAGAGAAGAGGGACTAGGAATCTCCTTCTTGCAAAAGTCCTCTCCCTGTTCACACCTCCTGGGGCTGCAGCAGGTAAAAGTCTTGTCCCCTTCCTTGACCCACAGTTCCAAGAGCCCTTCCACCCTTCTCTACCCCATGCCTTCCTCCTGAGCTGCCCCAGTATTATAGCACTGTTTCTTCATTATAAAGCAATAACCTTTGCTGGAGTAGGATCTGGGACTGCTTCCCCCTACCCCCAGGTATACCAGAGAGCAGCTATGGCCCTTTGGGTCAGAAAGAATTTCATTAGAAAACTGACCTCAGGGGTGAAAAGAATTTCACCCTAGAGCTTTCACTTGGCTAGAAAACAAAGCGAGGTTCTTACTATAAGCTTGAACATACTTTGGTAAAACAACAACAAACAAATTATGATTCCTGCCCTAGAAAAGATTACAGTTGGAGTCAGGGGAAGGGAAGAGACCTAGAGCTTGAAGCACAAGGGCATATTAGCATAAAGATAATAAAAACTAATAATATAAATGCTAAGAGGATACAAAATAGAAGATCTGAGTAGGTGGAGGTTAGATCAGAGAAGCTTCCTGGTGAAGAATCTTACTAGAGTTTTACATATAGGTAGGTGACAGACATGGATGGACAAAGTAGTAAGGAAGGTCTCTCCTGGAACCAAAGGTATGAAAGGGGTAGAAATGTAGAGGCAGAATTAGTGATTCTTTGCTTAGTAAGCAAAACAGGCTGACCAGAACAGAGATGCTGGAGAACTACAAAAGTCAAGGAAGATCCAGGATACAGCTAATAAGAAGCTTCAAATGTAAGGCAAAAGAGCCTTAACTTCACCTGCCTAGAAAGAGGAGTATACTCTGGAAGAGGAAGTAAGAGAATGGAAGAGCAGGACATTGCTCACCTAGGCCTTGCTCCTCTCCATAGTCAGACATTCCTGCCCCAAAGCCAAGCTTATAAAATCAAGAACTAGGCCTTTCCCCAAAGGACAGATCCCCACCAATGTCCCTGCCAAGCACACCTGCCCAGATGTAGGCAGCACCCTCCCTCTACAACCTCTTGGCCATGGAGGATCCCAACAGCATGTGAATAAGAAACTACCAGTTGTAGAGCAAAGAAAGAATTAGAGGCTAGAGATCACCTAGAAAGCTATTGCTGAGATTAAGAGGGCATGGATGAGCAGGAGAGCTGCAGAATGAAGACAAAAAACCATGTTGAGAAAGCCCCCAAAGCAGCTTAAGGGATGATTAACAGTGGCCCATTAGGGAGTAAAGAGTCAAAAGTAACTCCAAGGTGGGGAACTCTTGATATGAGTCAGGAGGGAGGGGAGAGCCATAATGATGGGGAAATAAGTTTACTGAGAGGAAAAAAGATAATTAACGTCCAATATTTGAGTTACAAGTTAACCACATCCACATGGAAACGTCCCTGAGGGACTGATGGCAGAAAAAAGGGACGAGGACAAGACAAAAAGTCTGGAGCTGCTATTATACAGTTATTGTCAATTATGAGAGTGGACATGTTCTCTAAGCAAACAAGCAGATAACAGAGCCACTGGGAATGTTACCATTAAAGAGCAAGAAGTGGGATCAGCATAGGGTATGGTCAGAGAGGTAGAAGCAGCAGGAAATGGTATCACAGAGAAGCTCTTAGACAAAGTGATTTGTGGTGTCAAATGCAGCCCAATGATCAATCAGGTGAGAATATAAGGAAAGACTTCCTGGGACAAGGTAGCTGATGTTTTAGGGGAGGCTTCAGTGAAGCAGGTGGACCAAAAGGTTCAAGGGGGCCAGATACAGGCTTATACTTCAGGAGTTTAGTTACAAAAGGCAAAAGTGAGATCAGACAGAATGCAGAAGGCACCAGACTCACATAAAGCTTTGCTTCATCTCTGGAGCAGCAGTGTGGGAACACTTAAAGGCAGAAGGAATAGAACAGGTGAAGGGGGGAGAAAGAACTAAATAGTTCAAATAAGGGAAATTAGGAGCAAAAAACATTAAACATGCAGCAACTCCAGTTGCTAATGGCTAACATCCACCACAATTGGACAGGCTGTGTGCTACAACTTAGATCGTAAATTTGTGTATTTACTATGAAACATTTTTTGGCAGATGGCAGTATAATGTCTTGAGGAAAGGGCGCCTTTTCCTAATTAACACAATGTGGCCACCCTGGCTCTCATTCAGCCTACTTCTCGCTTTCTGCCACATCTAGAGGATTTTCCCCACATATATGGAAAGCTGGGCGTGCTCTCCACTCTCCCCTAGAATTCTCTACAAAGTCAAGCCTCATCCATTCAGAAGGAGCTGCTTGACGATCTCTATAGTGCTGGGGGTTGTTCCTGGGATGGGCCACCCAGACAGGTAGGCAAAGGCTCCATGGAGGGATCAAGGAGGGATGCCAGCCCCACCCCAACCACCATTCCTTTTCCTTCACTCTCCACCTCCCTCTACCAGTCTCAAATCACCACTGCACCTACCTGCTCAGCATTTCTTTGGGACTGCAGATGGGAGTGCAGGCGCCGGATAAGAGGGACACCATTCCGTGCCTGCCGCTTCAACAGCCAATAGTTGTGAAGCCGCTGCATAAACTGGTTTTTCCTCTGAAAGGAGAGACCACTACAGATCTTGTTCAACCTTAAGTAGAGGCACATGGAAGTGAAAGACAGGGTCAGTAGGCAGCCCAGATTATAGCCCATGCATCCTATCCAGACCCTGGTTCATTTCTGAACCTTATACAGGAAGACAGAATAAAATGGCCAAATACCTCACCTCAGAGAAAAGCTTGAAAAGGACAGTAAAGTTAAGCAGCTCAGATTCAGCATGAGGTATTTCATTTGCTTTTCCACCTCTTGCCTTGCAGTCCTAATCCTCCAAAAGAACCCTCTCCCAGAACCCCGTTTCCTATGGTCCTAGACTTCTTCGTTCCAGGTATGGACTGAGAAACAAGCCTATGCCTCCATACCCCCACCCTCCTCTTATAAAAGCAGCGAAAGGGAACAGGAACTGGGGTAAGCTATGGTTAATGTGGCCATTATTTCCTGCCTTCTGCGGCTGAGAGTCCCATCAAACCAGGGAGTAGCCCACAACCAGGTTGAGCCCAATGCAACCCCTTAGAGTTGTTTGACCTCTGGTTTTTCATGGTATAAACCTCAGCAGCCTAAAAATGTTAATTTTGAACCAAATGAAAAAAAAAATTGGATCTAAAGATGTAAGAGGATGGGAAATGTGAAAATGCAGCTGGCTAAACTACTCAAGTCTTAAGGTCAGGGTTTAAGCCAGTAACTCCTTGGGGGAGGAAAGGGTACGAGAGGAATTAATGCAAGCCTATAATATCTGTCTTTAATATCCATATTGCAAGGTGGGTATCATTATTCCCATGTCACAAAAGATGGAAAGGCAGCATAGGAACAGAAGCTGAATAAACTGTCAAAATAACTAATGCAGCTAATAAGATGGTGGATCTGGGTTGGACCTGAATCCACGATCTCTCTGCTATACCATGGTACATCCCCAGACTGGTTATCCACAGGGTAAGCAAGGCCTCAGTGCTCCTGCGATGTTTCCTCTCCTTTTTTCTCTTCATGCCACTCCATTGAAACAAAGATAAGCACAGCTAAACAAGTTGAAACCTTAGAAGGATGGGCATGTTGGGCACGACATTGCTCACCTAGGCCTTGCTCCTCTCCACAGTTAGACATCCCTGCCCCAAAGCCAAGCTTATAAAATCAAGAACTAGGCCTTTCCCCAAAGGAGAGATCCCGACCAATGTCCATGCCAAGCACACCTGCCCAGATATAGGCAGCACCCTCCGTCTACAACCTCTTGGCCATGGAGGATCCCAACAGCATTTGTGCAGGTAGGGAAAAGAATAGTAATGATAAAATAGCAGCAGCAGCAGCAGCCACCATTTATTGAGCACTTACTATTTGCCAGACACTGTGCTAAGTGCTTTACTTATATTATCTCATTTATTTCTCACAACAGCTCTATGTGGTGGGTTCATTTACAAATAAACTAAGGCTTAGCACAGTTAAACAACTTGCCAAAGGTCACACAGGTACTAAGTGATAGAAATGGGTTTCAAATGTCAGTTTGTCTGGTTCTTAGCAAGCTCTGCTGGCCCCAGCAAGAGGCATCTAGAACAACCTACATGTCAACCAAATATTCTAGCCTCAGGGTAAACCTCCCTACAGATGGGAACTAAGCATCCACCCACTTACCTCAGGAAAAAGAATAACCTAGAACAGCTCGGTGACTAGAAAACACATTCAGAGTCACTGAAATTCTAACTTGGGTAATAGCTGGCACTAAGAGCCTCCCCCTTCCGATCTTGCACTTATGTCTTCTTCCCAGCCTGGCAAGTCTGGTTGCCTATTCATAGCTCTCATACAACTCTTTCCCCAGCACTCCTTTCTCTCTACGCTTCTCATCAAGAGAGATGGACTACAGGAATGCAACCTAGAGGCATCATGAGACCCAGCTCTTGTGGTATAGGGTCTGCTACTTTCCACCTGGTTCCACCCCTTAGAACAGGACATGGCATGTATTAAGTGCTCAATAAATAAATCATTGAATGAATAAAGGAGTGAACAACTTTACCTCCCGTGTTCGCAGTTTCTTCATCTGGGGGTGTGGGAGAAGGTGCAAGGACTACATCAGATGAACAATCTCCAAGACTCTTTCCTGCTCTAACAGTGTATACTGTTTAATGAACACCACCCAAGATAAGCCTCTGCTAGGAAATCTTCCCTATTCTCTTGCTTCTCTGCTAAGCTACCATCCCTCCAACGGCTCCAGATACCTCTCTGATATTTTAAAACAGGTACCATGGGCTCTCTACAGACTCAATGGGGGTCCACAGAGCTTAGCTACACAGCTGAACTGAATGATCTTCTTATCCCTAAATCTAAAGCTTCAAAAGGAGGAATACCATGTTCTCTCCACACCACCACCCCCTCATACCCAGGACAGAACTTGCTGGACAGCAGATGGCCATGCCAATCCTCTGAAACAGTGGTTCTTCACTGGGTAATTAGTTCTACCCTCCCCAAGCATTTTTGAAAACATGCGTGAAGAGTGTTTGAAGTTGTCACAAAAACCAGGCAATGGGGGAGATGATGCAACTGGCGTTTACAAAGACCAGGGATACTAAACATCTAGAAACATACAGGACAGTTCTAATAATGAAGAATTATCCTGTCCAAAATGTCACTTAGTGCCCCTATTGAAAAATACTGTCTAAGATATCCTATCAACTGAGTTTCTAAGTAACTTAAGTGTTTTATTTCACTTTGAAATAAAGGAAATACATTACTCTGAGGGCACAATCAAAACCACAAACCAGGCCAGGCGAGCCTGGGTCAAAAAAAAAAGTTTAAATTTGGGGAAGAGAATAGTGTCCAACTGTGTTTAGGGAAGGCCTGGCACAGGGCCAACACCAACCCAAGAAGAAACCATGAGTCCCTAAGGAGCCCTTCTGGGCATGCTTACCTGTAAGAGGGTATCTGTGGCACAGTGACCAGGGGGAGAGTGGAGGGTGTGTCTTGGCCTGCTTCCTCTGGCTCCTTCTTGATCTTCTGCTTCAAACTCATCTTGTTCTTCTTGGGCACTCCCTTGAGGGGGCCACTCACCCCGCCTTGGCCTTCCTGCTCCTCTTCCTCCACTTCTTCCTCTTCTTCCTCCTCTCCATCACCCTCCTTTAGCCCTTCCTCATCGCCAGTCTCACTGATGCTTCTAGGGGAGTCGCCCTTCCTCCGAGCAGTGGCAGTACTTGGTGGTGAGTGGGCCTCACAGTAGGCAGTCTTGCGCACTGTAAAGATGGTGCCATTGAGGCTGGTTTCGCGCATGGGCTCAATCTTCATGAAGAGCCCAGCCCGCTGTGCACATGTCACGTGGAATGCTGTGTAGCAGTTCACTTTATGGCACTGGATGGCTGCACCTAGCCCCTTCTGCTTGCAGATATAGCAGGTTAGTTTCCAGCGGGCAGGTGGGATATTGTCAATGCCCTCAATAGGTTCCAAGAACACGGTGTTAGCAAAGCAGACTTCAGGGATCCAGATGGCACACACCACATGGGCCCAGTGCCCATCACTGGTCTGTTTGAAGGCGCCACCCTTATTGGGGCAAAGGACGCAATCCACAGGCCGGGAGGGAGACTGCAGGCAGCAGCGGCATAGCCACTGACCCTCAGGGATGTAGGGGACGCCATAGCACTCCTGGTGTACTGCCAGGTTGCAGATGTCACAGAAGAGAATAACGTTGCTATTGTGACATTCATCATCCAGGCACACACAGCAGAAAGCGTCTTCATCGATGAGTGACTGTTGGGCCCCACTGCTGCGACTCTCCAAGTATGACTCTTTCTCAAGCCGGTCTACCAGTAGCTCAAAGGTGTCTGCAGACACCAAACTGTGCCCATCTACTCGCCGCTTTTCATTCACCATGTCCAGCCAGGCAAGGTCCTCCTCATCCATGTCATACTCTACCTCTGCATCCAGGTCTTCAGGTGGCTTCTCAATGTAGCGATAGTAGGCAGCAGGCAGCGGGGGTGCTTCTGGCTGGATGCCTGAGTCCACCATCCGGAAGCTAGGCTGTGGGAGGTGGAAGGAAGTACCAGATGCATGCTTGGAGCAGGATTCTTTCTTTTTGCCCTTGGATGAGGGTTTCTTGGACTTGCCAGGGAACTGAGGCTGTTCACTGTTTTCCTTGTTACTATTGCATTCAGTGATATCCTGGGCAGTTAGCTCATCCTCAGTGATGATTTTGAGTGGGTCATAGATGCTGATACGATGCAGGCGTCCATCAATGTCTACCTCGACAATCCGCTGGGCCTGGGCATATGTTAGGGTCTCCCGGGTGGGTGAGCACTTCAGACTGTAGGGGGACGGGGAACGCCGGCCCTCGGCATTCTGCCGGGACTTCCGACGAGGCTTCCTCATGGCACCTGGGGACTGAGAGGACAGGCCTAAGGAGAGAAGGCCAGGAGACTATGATTTGGATGCCCTTATGCACCCATTCATCCTCCTATATGATCAAGCATCCACCAAGAGGACTGGCTTTTCCCTCTGTCTGAACAACCTGCCCCTCAGGCATCCATATGGCTTGCTCCTTCACCTCCTTTGAGTCTTTCACTTCTTCAAGTGAACAACACTACTCAGTGAGACCTTCTCTGACCACTTTATCTAAAATTGCAAATCCTTTTCCTCCACCAGCAATCTACCTTTCATTCTGCTTTATTTTTCCCTTTAACACTCATCATCTTATACCATGCTACATAATTTACCTACTACTACGTTTATTGTTTCCTTCCTTCCACTAGAATGTAAGCCCCATGAGGGGAAGAATTTTTGTTTGTCTTGTTCACTGCTGTATCCCCAGTTCCTGGAGCAGTGCTTAGCTCCTAAGTAAACACTCAATAAGTATTAGTTGAATGAAAGGAGAAATCAAACACACATGATCCCTGCCCTCAAGGAGCCCTGTCTAACTGAAAAGACAGAAAAGTAAACAGATTATTACAGTGTAACATGGGGAAAGATCTAAATGTTCTAATGATGTACATAAAGCTGTGCAACAGCTAACTACGGAAAAGCCATGAGTAGTTAAGGGTTTAGAAAAGAAAACAAGAACAGCATCCACTGTTAAGCTCTGTACTGAACAATGGGCCCCGTCAGAGGATCAAAAGTCACAGGTCTAGGGTCTTCTCTCAATACATCTTACCACGATCAGAAACCCTACTCCTTGACCCTGCCTAGAGGTGAAGGGGTGAAGGCGTCTGAAATGCCTATAACACATGGTCTAAGGGCTTCAAACTACAGTATGCACGGTATTCCCTACAAAAGGCAGCATCCAGGACAGCGGTCCCCAACCTTTTTGGCACTAGGGACTGGTTTCATGGAAGACAATTTTTCCACAGATGAGGGTGGGTGGTGAACACTGTTCCACCTCAGATCATCAGGCATTAGTCAGATTCTCATAAGGAGCATGCAACCTAGATCCCTCACATGCGCAGTTCACAGTAGGGTTCCCGCTCCTATGAGAATCAATGCAGCCACTGATCTGACAGGAGGCAGAGCTCAGGTGGTAATGCTTGCTTGCCCGCCACTCACCTCTTGCTGTATGGCCTGGTTCTCAACAGGCCACAGTCTGCGGCCTGGGGGTTGGGGACCCCTGATCCAGGATACACCAACTAGTACATTTTAAGGCAGAAACAAACCCTAGAAGCTCTGAGAGTGGCTCCAAGAGATCTCTGAAGTTGTAGTGGCCTGTCTAGGACCTTCATTCACCTAAGGCCAAGATGATCTGGGCAGTATCTGAGGTAAACTCTCAATGCATTCTGCTACCTCAAAAGTCTCTCTTAGAACACTTATATCTAGTCTATCCTTGTACAGCCAAGAGAAAGTCCTAGTTTCCCACATCATTCTCTGGATGACAAGCTCATAAGGAGCTGCGGTAGGCAGTTACCAAGGCTGTCACCACCAGGAGAGACCTTTGGGGATACAGGGCCCCGTGGTGTGGGCAGACTTGGAAGGATATGAACAGGGAGAAGATTTCAAAGAGAAAAACAATTCATCACCTTGGTTGCAGGGTCTACCATCTATATAAAGTAGGGACAGTGATGATAAAAGCACTTTTTCCAAACTACAAAGCCCTCTTAATATTTCTCACAACTACCTTAGGAGATGGTGTAGCTACTATGATCTACACAGAAGCTCAGAAAGATGTCACTCAACCTAAAGCGAGTAAGTGATAAAGCTACAATTTGAACCCAGATCTTCCAATGCTCAATTCCTCTCGGTGGGAATTAAGAACACCACAGAGGTGCTATGGTCTGGTACAAAAACAGGCTCTGGGGCAATCTAGGTTCTAATCTTGGCCCTCTGTGACCTGGAGAAAGTCCCTTAAGCTCTCTATGCCTCCATACTCCATCAGTAAAATGAGGGTAATACAATCTAGCTCTCAAGGTGCTACTTGTTAATAAGGTATTATTAACATCCTTATTTGAAAGGCCTTCCAATACCAAAGTGTGACTGAAACAAACAAAAAACCAATTTGGCTGAGGGGCAGTGCCAGGCGGGCTGGCACACCCCATTTGGAGCCAAAGGAAACAGAATCATCGCAGCAATTCTGTCCGGGTTCCAGAGGCCCTTGGCTACTGGATTCCTTAGAAATGCCAAGTCCCTGGGGGCAGACAGGGCCAACAGACCTGCTTCGTCACCCACTCCTCCAAAGGCACCGAGGCCCTAGGAGAGGTGAGAACATCTGCCTCCACACCCACCCCAAACAGCGCAGACAGGCGATGCGGCGCCCCCTTTCATGAAAGCCGCTCCATCTTCTCCCTCCCCACCTGCCACCTCCTCGGCTGCTCAAGCATCTCTCGACCACGCAAGACTCTATACACAGACGTGTTTTGTCCCACCCACGCCTCCAGACACCGAGGAGAAACTCTAGAGGGGGAAAGGCTGCTGCTGAGGGAAATGAAATGAGTTTCGCCCACAAGGAGCTTACAGTCTAGACGAGTTTTTTGGCGGGAGTTTATCAACCTACACAGCCCTTCCCACATACACACCTCCAACACATCTCCAACATCCCCCATCCCCCAGATTTCCTCTCGGCACCCCCTGACCCTCCGCTCGCCCACCCCACCCAGGTCCCCGAAGAATGAGGATCTTCTGCAATCAAACTGTATCTCCTGCACCCCACACAAGCTACTCAGGAGACAAGGAGGACCCTAGCCAAGGCTCCTGCTCCTTTAAGGGGGCACCTCTTCCAGAAGAATCTTGACCCCTCGGAGAAGAAAGGAGGGAAATAACATCTCCTCAGAGGGGAGGGGGCGAGCGCACCAGAGACAGCCTGACGTGGAGTCCGACCCTCAGACAGAGAAAGCGAGCGCCAGCGAATGAGCGGGGCAGAGAGGCGAGAGCCCATTGGTCGCCTCATCTGCCCGTCAGAGGGACCCAGGGGACCAAGGGACGCTCAAGGGGCGGAACTCTCGTCTGGCCAGGCCAATTGGAAGGCGTGGTGGGGGCGGGGCTTGGCGGCTCGGAATCCAAGGCTTGGGGGGAGACAAGATGGCGGCGGCGGGAGGGGGTCCTCGCTTCTCAGCTCCCCCGCTCACCCGCCTTCTCCTTCCCTGCCGCCGCCCTCGCTCCAGGAGAGAGCTTTCGCACCGCCCCCGCCCTGCTCGGAAAGCCCCCCGCTTCTCCGGTTTCCCCCCGTGCAGTCCCTGGTCCCCGTAGGCCCCGCTGCCCCCGCCCCCGCTCTGTCCGGCCCCGCTGCCGCCCCCATTACCTCAGCCGCCTGCCCGGCCCCACCGTTCGGGGCCCCTGGGCGCGGGCGGGCCGGCCGCCGAGCAGGTCGGCGCGGCCCGGGAAGCGGAGCGCGGTCTCCTCCCGCGCCTGCCTCCGTGGCCTCCGCCGTGCCCCCTCCCGGCCCGCGCTGGGGCCCCGGCCCGGCCGCCGCCGCCGCTCCCGGGGGAGGAGGGGGAATGGAGCCGCCGCTGCTGCCGCTGCCGCCACGGAGCCCGGCCGAGGGGAGGGAGGGATCAGCCCCCAGGCAGGATCCGCCCCTCCGGCCTCCCCCCGCCACCTCCACCCCTTCCCTCGCTCCCTCCCTGACTCTGCGGGCTCTCCCGCTGAACAGGAGCGAGAGCGCGAAAGAGGGGGAAACGGGAAAAAAAATCCCCCCGCCCGTGCCCGGCGCGGCGGCGGTCGGGGCGGTGCGGAGAGGAGCGCGGAGGCGCCGCCGCCGCCGCCACGGGGCACCGTCCCCGGCTCGGCCTCACGGTGGCGGTGCGGGCGCGGCGGGGACACCGAGCAGAGACCGGGTCTGCACCCGCCGCGATCCCTGCGCACGACGGCCCTGCCCGCCACGGGGCGAGCCCGACAAGAGGGCTGTGGACGTTCGGGTCTAGTTGGGAGAGACAGGGGTCCCTGACTCTTGAGCGGTCAGTCATTTCCTCCCCAGTCCTTGTGGGTGACGTGGCTACGGTTTGGAGCAGCAAGCCCCTTCCCCGAACTAAAGGGCCTCTCCAAAGGTTAAGCCCGGGCAGTCATTGAGGTCAAAACCGGTCTGTAGTTTCTTGGGTGCAGGTGCCTACACGACTCCCAGAAAGTCGCGTCTCCCCCAACCCCCATGCCCAGGACCTGAGGACAAAGGTCTAGCGATTGTCCGTCCCCTCCCCCAGTGAGGACAGCCGAGAAAGACCTGCCTTTGTTGTGTACAGGTGAGCGTCTTGTTCCGCACCAGACATTCGTTTTTAAAAAAAAAAAAAAAAAGATCTGACTTTCCGTTTAAAAAGAGTAAACATAAAAGTTTGACAGTCTGCTTAAGTATGCCCGATAGCTGGTCTGTCACTGTGGGCATGGGAAACACTTTAAACCTGACTTGGTTAATTCAGTGCACTAGGCGGCTTTCTAAAAGATGCTTGATAAATGGCAGCATCAGACCAAACTGGCTTTTGTTTTGATCTTAAAAAGAGAGAGAGAGAGGGAGGGAGGGAGAGAAGGCCTCCATTACCACCTCCTTTTGCCTATAAACTGGAAAGCTTACCTCGTATGACTGAAGTCTTAAGCACCAAAAATAATGATGTTTATAAAGGACGTATGGATAAGCTACCTATAAATGTGGCGATCAATGACAGTTTGAAAGTGTTTCCTCTGCCGGCACTTGTGGTGTAGCTGGTGAGACTCAATTTCTTGCTTGGTTCTGATGATCAAGGACATGTATTCTAGAGTCAGGAGGATGAAGGATAAAGTCTTAGGATCCAAGTTTTCTGAATGTTTGAAGTGAACATACTGCTACTTTTGAAGTATAGATGTTTGTTATACTAAGGAATTTAAATATAGAGAGTTTCAAAAGTTTGATTAAGGAAGCTAATTTGTTTCCAAGTAAATAGCATCTTCTGGCAAAGAGATAGTACAAAAATGCTTCTGTTAACCAATTTTTTAAATGCAAGGGGGGTGGCTTGTGGAGCTAAGCACGGGCAGGGCAATGTTTTGAAAGCTGTGAAGATGAAATAGTATGAATTAATGTCAAGTGTTCTGAAGCTTGGGGGAATAATCATTTGGAGGGAAGGTGTGGAAGAAAAAGATGATTAATTGTGGAAGGGAAAGCCCCAGAGGCAATTACAGTACTTTTAGTTAAGAAAAAAAAAGTCTGAAAACTAACAGAAACAATACCGAATTTCTTGTTCTTTTAAAACATGAAATGTAATAATCATTTACACATATGACTAGTAACTTATTTCTTAATGGTTGTTCTCAAAATTTATTTAGCACAATTCCCATTCGTGTGATCAGGAGCTATCTTTTTCCACTAAAATGAATGGATAAATACTTTGAGAAAATGCATTGGTTTCTATTTGTAAGTCAAATGATTTAAATGCTGTTGAAAAGGCATTAAGTCAACCTAATGCGTGTTATTTTTTTCAGATTTTTCTGTTTAAAGCTTTATTTAAAGTTTAATAAGGTCTGTT